CGTGAATTTCCTGATTTCTTTGTCCGCCTTGCAGCACAGCATCATATACATAGCCAGTTCGCACATTCATTCCAAGCAGGCACTAACATTCTTGCATGTTTCAACTAAATGTCCACTCGCAGCGAGTGGGAGCAATTCGAGCAACGACTCCGCAGTGACTCCAAGAAGTATATTCAGCAACTCAACCGTGAGCGATCCGAGCGACTCGGGGGGGAGAGAAGGCAGGGGCCGAACGAGTAAGGAGCGAAGATGCAGACGAAGCTGTGTTCGCTTCTCTAGCGCTTCTGAAGCATCGCTTGGCCTAGCCACGTGCCTTGGCTGGGTCTTGAGAATTCGAGCGCTACAGGTCTCGCAGCATTGTACACTTCTAACTACGTCGAATCGGAACTCTGTCAGGGTATGTTCTCAGCCTCATGCGCAACTTGCCCCAACGCCCTGTTTACAGCATCTAACAACTCATGCCTGCATTCCCCGAACAGAGCGGCGCAGCTTATGTTGTTGCTACCCCTAACTCGTTGGTTATTCTTTTTCTCTCTCTCTCTCTCTCGCTCTCTCGATATATCTTTCTATACATATAAACATGTCAGATCAGAGAATAATCGAACTCAAGAATTGCGACCACAGGGAAATGATCTCTTCCAGTTCGAGTGTTGATCAGTTGCAGCGCTTCCCGAGCCTTCTCCCACACTCTGCACGAAGTCGCATGCCCGCACAGGTCTGTCAAAGCTAGTCCATCCTGGCCGTAGACACTCCATCACCATGGTAGTACGTCGGCGAGTATTCATGAAATATGTTCAGCGCGCAAATGTGGTGCTCCTCTAACATATCTCTGAACAGAAACAACCTCCATGTATGTTCTCCCGATCTGGATTACACTGCCCACTTGCTTCACCGCCAGTCGACCCAATTCTTGCGTTCGCATCCAATAGCATGATGGGGACGGTTCTAGTAGGGCGCTCACTCGCCAACCCGCCCACTGCATCCCAAACTCTTTTGCATACGCTAGTCGCAGCAGCACGCCCTTGTCCCCCTGCTGGCTCCACCAGTGCATATGCCACAATCGCCGTCTCGTCCTTGTGCTCCGTCTTGCACCTCGGAACACCCAGCCACCCTGCAAGTTCCCCCTGAAACGACCAAACTCTATGTAATCTCTAACAAAATGATTGCACCTGCTCGCAACCAGCAACGCGCAACCTGTCGGCCTGCCAGAGCTTCCCCCGCTGCGACCCCACTGGAAACGTAGGGAACGTCCCAGGCGACCTTGAGTACAAGGGGGGCCCGCGGAGATTTGATCACCTGCAGTGCCAACGATGCCACAGCCACGAGTCTACTGAGCTGCACCCTGCCACCTGCCTGCTCCATGGGCAACCGCGCACGTTCACGGCGGCCGCCCGAGAGCGACACCTTGGGAGGAGGAGGAGGAGGTGGATGAGGAGGAGGAGGAGGAGGAGGAGGTGCCTGGGGGCGCGGGGGCGCCCCCCCTGCCAAACAGGGGCCCGAGGACCTCTCCTTCCTTCGCTTCCCCATCCATGCTCCCACGTCCCCTCCTGGTCCCCCATCTTCCTCCTCCTCCTCCTCCTCCTCCTCCTCCTCCTCCTGCCTACTCCTCCTCCCCCTCCTCCTCCTCCTCCTCCTCCTCCTCCTCCTCCTCCTCCTCCTCCTCCCCCTCCTCCTACTCCTCCTCCTCCTCCTCCTCCTCCTCCTCCTCCTCCTCCGTCTTCTCCTTCTCTTCCTCCGCCGCGCCCTTTTCCGCGAGCCCCACAGTTTTTCGTCTAGCCTTTCCCTAGTTACAGGTTCTCACCTTCTCCCTAAGTAGCCCCCCCCCCGCCCCACCGGGTACAGCCGTGGGGCGGGGGCAGGACAGGCGGCCGCGTCGCACGACTCTTCGGCCGAGAGAGAGCGAGAGGGAGGAGAGGGGAGGGAGGAGAGTTGAGGGAGGGGGGATTAGTCGGATGATGGTGATGCTGATGCTGATGATGCTGATGTTGATGCTGATGACGCTGATGTTGATGCTGATGCTGCTGATGCTGATGCTGCTGCTGATGCTGCTGCTGCTGCTGCTGATGATGATGATGATGATGATGATGATGATGATGATGATGATGATGATGATGATGATGCTAGTGATGCTGCTGCTGATGATGACGATGATGATGATGATGGTCATGATGATGATGATGCTGATGCTGATGATGATGATGATGATGATGCTGATGATGATGATGATGATGATGATGATGATGCTGATGATGATTCTTATTGTGGTGGTGGTGGTGATGGTGATGGTGGTCGTGATGACGTTGCTGGTGATGTTGGTTGTTACGGTGATAGTGATGGTGAGGATGCTGATGTTGATGGTGGTGGTGTTGATGATGATGATGATACTGATGCTGTTGTTGTTGCTGCTGCGGAGGAGGAGGAGGAGAGGAAGAGCTCTTGAACGACTGTCTGCGGCAGCATTCCGAATATTTGAATTGGATGTACGTTGGTTTCGCGCATTGCATCCTGTTCCTGGGTACCTGCACTTGGAGGGGCATGACCGTCATATGTAATATGGTAAACTGCCTTAGGGCGGGGTTTCTTGGACCTCGCGTTCCCCGTCGTGATCAGAGGGTGGGATGCTCGATTCAGTAAGCGACATGGTCGCAGCGTCCGTAACTCCTTCTCTACGATGATCCCTTCTCCTCCTCCCCCCGCTTGTTCCTGCCTCCTCCCCCCCCACCTCCCCCCCCAAACCTCATTCCCCCCTCCTCCTCCTCCTCCTCTTCTCTTCTTCTCCTCCTCTCCTCCTCCTCCTCTCCTCCTCCCTCCTCCCTCCTCCTCCTCCTCCTCCCTCCTCCTCCTCCTCCTCCTCCTCCTCCTCCTCCTCCTCCTCCTCCTCCTCCTCCTCCTCCTCCTCCTCCTCCTCCTCCTCCTCCCCTTCCCTTCCTCTCCTCCCCTTCCTCCTCTCCATGACGGCGTCGGCGTCGGGCGATCGTCGGAGAGCGGCCGCCCCAGCCGCGCGGGCGGAGGCCGTGCTGTGGAGGCTCGCGGGCTCGATGGAGGGCACGCCTTTCGAGGTGAAGGAGGCCTTTGGGGGCCGACGTATTCTCGTCGTTCGCAGTCGTTGCAGGCAGGAGGAGGAGGAGGAGGAGGAGGCGGAGGAGGAGAGGATGGAGGAGGGGAGGAGGAGGAGGAGAGGGAGGAGGGGGGAAGGAGCAGAGGAGCAGGAGGCGGAGGAGGAGGAGGAGGAGGAGGAGGAGGAGCAGGAGGAGGAGAGGAGGAGGGAGCAGGGAGGAGGAGGAGGGAGAGGAGGAGGAGGAGGAGGAGGAGGAGGCTGGGAGGGAGGATGAGGAGGAGGAGGAGGAGGGGAGGAGAGGGGAGGAGGAGGAGGAGGAGGAGGAGGTGGCCTTGGGGGCCGACGTCGTCTCGTCGTTCGCAGTCGTTGCAGGAGGCGGAGGAGGAAGGAGGAGGACCAGGGTGATGAAGCCCAAGAGGCGTCAACGGTGTTGGAGTACACCCTCTCTCCAGGCTCCCTCCTCATGGGCACCTGCCAGGCCTCATTTCCACTGAGGGGACTGCCTCGTTGGAAGACAACCGTCCGGATCCAACGCGGACTCCAACATTATTTAATCGCTTCGCTCATTCCGCCGGCCCATATTGTCGCACCGTTGTGGGCTAGCCGAGTTTGGGGGCCTCTTGGGGGCCGTTTTTGGGCCTCTTGGGGCCTCTTTTGGGCCTCTTGGGCGCCTCTTGGGGCGTCTTGGGGGCCTCTTGGGAGCCTCTTGGGGCCTTTTTGGGGCCTCCTGGGCGCCTTCTGGGGCGGAGGGCTCGATTTTTCAGTTCTCGGTTCTCCTCTTGAGCCCCTCTTGGGCCCGTCTTGGGGCCTCTTGGTCCGTCTTGGGCGGCACTTGGGCCGTCTTGGGGGCCCTCCTGGGCCGTTCCGGGGCCGTCTGGGGAGCCTCGTGGGCCGTCTTGGAGCGGTCTTGGGGGCCTCTTGGGCCGTCTTGGAGCGTCCGGAAGCCGAAAAAGCCAGAACGCAAAAAACATAGAAAAAACAATGGAAATCAACGATTTTGGCCTCTTGGGGCCCTCTTCGGAGGCCTCTTGGAAGGCCCTTGGGGCGTCTTGGAGGCCTCTTGGGCTGTCTTGGGGCCCTGTTGGGCGTCTTCGGGCGATCGTTGGCCGTCTCGGGGCCCTCTTGGACCGTCTTGGAGGCTTCTTGGGGACCTCTTGGCCCGTCCTGGGGCCCTGTAACAGGGCTCCGGCATCTCTGGCCCGACCTTGCCGGGACCTTGCCGGGGACTTGCCGGGACCTTGCCGGGGACTTGCCGGGATCTTGCCGGGGACTTGCCGGGACCTTGCCGGGGTACTTTTCGTCCGGGGACCCCCAGGGGCCGCCCCGCGCGCGCGAACTAGAAATACTGTTAACCAGGTACCGGAGATCTTAGCACGCCCTGGCCCGTTGGGCCGGCGAATTCTCGGAATTCCACTGCCACGGATCAACCTGATTGTTGCGTCTTGACGATCTCGAATCGTGCCAGAACGCCATTCTTGGGACTTCAACACCGCGAATCAATGTAATTGCTGCACCCTCATAATCCTGAATCTTTCCAAGCACCGTTTCTGGTACGTCCACGGGAATCCGTGAAACCCTTGCAATTTTGTAGAAGGAATGTGCGCGGCGCTAAGGCGAAAGCCACATTTTGAAAAGGAACCGCCTTCAATCCGCGAGACTCTTGCAATGTGTGTTAAACGAATGTGCGCGGCGCTCAGGCGAGAGCCACACTTTGAAAACCACCCGCCCTCAATCTGTGAAGCTCTTGCAAGTCTTTACAACGAATGCGAGCGGCGCTAAGGTGAGAGCCACATGTTCAAAACCACCCGCCCTCCACCTGTGAAACTGGTGCCAATGTTTAAGCTTCAGGGTCATAAATGGTGGGGAAGTCTCAGGCGAAACGCCTGGCCCGCCCTTTCGACCGGCCTCGGGGTGCGACAGAGAGAAGTTGTTTATAAGGAAAAGGGATTGATAAGAGGAGGACGAAGAGGAGGAGGATGAGGATGAGGAGGAGGAGGAGGATGAGGAGGGGAAGGAGGAGGGCAGAAGGGGAGGGGGGGGCGGGAGAGAAGGGGGTGAACGGGTGTATGGGAGAAAAGGAAGATGCGTGGGGCGAGGGGGGATGAGGAGGATGCGGAGGAAGATGCGGAGGAGGATGCGGAGGAGGAGGAGGTGGAGCAGGAGGAATAATGATAATAATAACAAGGTTGATGAGAAGGGTGGAAGAGAAGACGGGAGGAGGAGGAAGAGGAGGAGGAGGAGGAGGAGGAGGAGAATGAGCAGAGGAGGATAACGAAGAAGGAGGGAGGAGGAGGAGGAGGAGGAGGAGGGAGAGGAGGAGGAGAGGTAGGAGGAGGAGGAGGAGGAGGAGGAGGGGGTCCCGTCCCCGCCCTCCCTGTTCCTTGCCCCTCCCCGCCCCGCCTCTCATCCTCCCCTGCCGTTGAGCAGTCGGGCCCTCACAGGCACGCGCGGGCTCAGGCAGGCACCCGCGGGCCCCGCAGGGGCACTTCGCCGCACCGGCCGCCACGGCATGGGCTGGCACGGGAGCATTCCTCTGGGTTCCAGCGGCTCGCGCTGCTTCGCGATGGCGCCCCGCGGCGTCGCCACCTCCGCCCGGGGCTCTTCGGGGAGGGGGCCAAGGTGACGGAGGAGGAGGAGGAGGGAGGAGGAGGAGAGAGGAGGAGGAGGAGGAGAGGGAGGAGAGAGGAGGAAGAGGAGGAGAGGAGAGGGAGAGGAGGGAGGAGGAAGGAGGAGGAGGAGGAGGAGAGGAGGAGAGGAGGAGGGGAGGAGGAGGAGGAGGAGGAGGAGGAGGAGGAGGAGGAGGGGAGGAGGAGGAGGAGGAGGAGGAGGAAGGAGGAGGAGAGGAGGAGGAGGAGGAGGAGGAGGAGAGGAGGACGACGAGCATGGGCGCCCGCTCGCCAATTCCAGACTAGCAGGTTGCGCTGCCACGCGCATCTGCCACCGCGCTTCCAGAGGCTGCGGGGCAGAGCCGCATGGCCCCGCGATCGCGGACTGCGCTGCGGTGCGGCAGCAGCGGCCGCTGCGCGCGTGGGCCTGCCCCCCCGCGCCCGCCGGCAGCCGCGCACCAAGGGCCACTCTCCCCTCTGGGGCCGCTCTTGCGTGCAGCCGAGTGGAAGCCACGGCGGGGGGGGGGGTGGCCGTTGCCGGCCCTCCTCCTCCTTCTCCTCCTCCTCCTCCTCCTCCTCCTCCTCCTCCTCTCCTCTCCTCCTCCTCCTCCTCCTCCTCCTCCTCCTCCTCCTCCTCCTCCTCCTCCTCCTCCTCCTCCTCCTCCTCCTGGCCCCCCGTGCCGCGGGGACCCCTGCGGGCCAGCACCGAAGGTCACTCCCGGCGCAGGGGGTCATTCCTCGCGTGCAGCCGAGCGCCCTCCCTGGGCCCCAGGGTGCCGCCCAAGAGCTGCTCGGGACGAAGAGCTGGTCCCCCACCCGTGGAGGGTTCCACCCACCAAACCACCCCAACCCAACCCGAAGGCCCAAATTTATCCTCAATTTCCAGTGGGGGGGGGTCGGGGAACGTTGAAAAAACACATGGTATCCGTACCCCCCCCAACCCGAAATTCGGGTCAAATTCGGGTCTTCGGGTTGGGTTGGGGTGGTCTGGTAGGTAGTCATGGAGGGTTCCACACCTGCCAGGGTCCATTTCGGTTTGGTGTCGATGCTGGCCCGTGCGATCGGGCTGGAATGCGAGAATTCGAACCGCAAGCAAACGACGCCACCCCACGTGCGGTGAAGTCGGGCCTGTCCCCCTACAGGAGGAATATTCACCTCTGGGAGGATCGCAGAGGAGGGGTGAGGCGGACCCGGATCGGATGTAATGGCCAGGCCTTCCCCCGAGAAGGCCCAAGAAGCGCTCAGGACGGCCCAAGTGGGACCCAAGAGGAGTCCAAGAGGGCTCCAAGACGGCCCAAGAGCGCTTCAAGAGACCCCCAGACCGGCCTCAAGACCGTCCAACAGGGTTCCGAGACGACCCAACAGGCTTCAAGAAGCCTCCCAAGAGGGCCCAAGGAGGCAACACTCATTGATTTTTAATGGTTTTTGAATGTTTTTCGGGTTCTCGCCTTTTCGGGCAAAGAACGGCCCACAATTGCCTAAGAGGCTCCAAAGGTTATCCCCAGACGGCCCCAGAGGCATCCCAAAGGGGCCGACAACGGTCCAAGAGGGCCCCCAGACGGCCCAAGAGGGTCCCAAAACAGCCCCTGAGGGCCCCAAGACGGCCCCAAAAGTCCCAAGAGGGCCTCGATAGGATCCCAAGAGAGCCCCAAGAGGGCCTCGATAGGCTCCCAAGAGATTCCCAACGGAGCCCGAAGAAGCGGTGTGGGGACTGGGCTGCTTGGGTGTGGGGACTGGGCTGGACCCAAGACGGCCCAAGAGCCTCAAAACGGCCTTCCCCGAGGGCCTCAGGAGGCCAAACGCATTGTGGTTCCTTAGGTGTTTCAAGGTTGTTGGGGTTCTCGCTGTTTCGAGCCCAGAAGGGCCCCAGACGGCCCAAGAGGTCCCAAAGATCGTCCCCAGACGGCCCCAGAGGCCCCAAAGGGGCCCGATAACGGTCCAAGAGGGCCCCCCCAGAGGGCCCCACAACGGCCCAAGAGGGCCCCAAGACGGCCCCACGAGAGCCCCAAGACGGCCCCAGGAGGGCCCGAAGAGGCGGTGTGAGGACTGGGTTGGCCCCAAGACGGCCTAAGAGTCCCAAAACGGTCCAACAGGGCCACCAGAAGACTCCGATGAAGCCCCAGAGACGCCAAGTAACACCATGTCTCCCAACAGCGAGCGGTGACGTAACAAGTTCTGAACACCAAGGCTCCCCAGAACGCGGTGACGTAAAGAGCTCTGAACAGCAAGGCACCCAAGAGCGAGCGGCAACGTACAAGTCTCTGAACATCAGGGTTCCCAACAGTAAGCGATGACGCAACAAGTTCTTCACGCCAAGGCTCCCAAGAGTGATTGGTGCCATGAGCCCTCTCGGACAAGTTCCTGCAGAGCTCCTTCCGTTCCCGTGCTGGCCCAGGTAACGGGAAGATCGAGGTACAAGTGATGACGTTGTGGTGTGGCGAAGCCCTCGAAGGAGGGGTCCAGGGGAGGGGCGAGAGGGGGAAGGGATGGTCTAAGCGTCCCTCTTCCCCCCCGAGGCGGCCCAAGAGGCGTCCAAGACGGCCTCAGACGGGCGCAAGAGGGGCCCCAGAGGCGTCGATGACGGCCCTGAGACGGTCCACGAGAGCTCCAAGAGACCCTAAGACCGTCCAGGAGCGTTCCAAGATGGCCTCAGATGGCCCAAAGACGGTCCAGGAGGGCCCTTGGCATCGCTCGGACGTGTGCATCTTTCTTTCAGCGAGGACCATCGATGAACAAAAACACAGGGAATGGACGTCCGAGCGATGGCCAGGGGTCCCGAGACGGCCCAGGAGGCCTCCAAGAGGCCTCCCCCCTGAAACTCGTCCCTCCCCGGAAGGACAGTTTCGGAGCCGCTCCCCTGTCCCGCTGCCTCTTCCCCATCCCCCCGCGCTGGAAGGGAGCGCGAAGCGTTGCGAAATAAACGCCCGCTTTGGCGGGGGCCGCTGCTTGCCCGTCAACCTTGAAGAACTATTTGGCGAGGGGAGGTGCGCGCTCACGCACTGTTATCTAGAGACTTGAGACGGGCGTTTATATCGCAACCCACGAATAATTGAGCACGCGTGTGGTTGTAGCCTCCGCCTCCTCCTCCTCTTCTTGACCGCTGCAGGGCTCATGCTGGTACCTCGTCCCTCCCCCAAAAAGATAGTTTCGGAGCCGCTCCCCTGGAGACTGTCTTTTTGGGTCCGGCGATAACCCGGGTTATCGGGCTTGCCCCCCCCGCCCTCCGGGATAACCGAACCTTGCTGTTTGTGCAGGTCCGGGGTGGGGGGGCGCGGGCATAATATGCAGGGTTGCCCAAAGCCCGAAGGTTAGGTTATACGTCGGCCCCCTCCTCCTCCCCGGATAACCCGGGTCATCACCGATTCAAAAAAAACGATCTCTTGCTCCTCTGCCTTTGCCCCCCCCTCCTTGCTCCCCTCCCCTCGCGCAGCCGAGGTCGTCCTCCGCGCCCGGGTGCCCATCCTCCGGCTCGTGCGCGGCTCGCTGGACGCCCGGGGGGAAAGGGGGGGGCCCTGGCAGCACCGCGGGGAGGAGGAGGGAGGGAGGAGGAGGCGGCGGAGGCGGAGGAGGCAGAGGAGGAGGAGAAGGAGGAGGCCAAAGAAACATAATGAAGAGAGTAAGGAGCGTGTGAGAAGGAAGATTAGGGGTGGAGGTGTGGAGGAGGAGGAGGAGGCGGAGGAGGAGGAGGAGGAGGAGGAGGTGGCCAAGGAGGAGGAGGAGAACGACGAGGAGGAGGAGGACGAGAGGAGAGGGATGATGATGATGATGATGATGATGATGATGATGATGATGATGAATGATGATGATGATGATGATGATGATGATATGATGATGATGATGATGATGATGATGATGATGATGGTGGTGATGGTGATGACGATGACGATGACGATTGATGATGATGATGATGATGATGATGATGATGATGAGGATGAGGATGAGGATGAGATGAGGATGAGGATGAGGATGAGGATGAGGATGAGGATGAGGATGAGGATGAGGATGAGGATGAGGATGAGGATGAGGATGAGGATGAGGATGATGATGATGAGGAGGAGGAGGAGGAGGAGGAGGAGGAAGTGTGAGACGGATATGGATGAGGAGGATGAGGAGGAGGAGGATGGGAAGGAGGAGGAGTGAGGCGGACAAGGAGGAGGAGGAGCAGGAGGAGGAGGAGGAGGAGGAGGAGGCCGAGGAGGCGGAGGCGGAGGCGAGTCCTCCCCTCAGGACGTGGACCTGTCGGTGCACAACGCGACGCCGCTGCGGAACACCCGCCTGCTGCGCGGCCGGGCGCCCAGACCGGCCGCCGCGTGGCGGCGCGATCGCTCCAGTGTTCGTCATAAACGGCATGGAGCGAGCCTCAGGGAGTATCACGATCCTCCGTTCTCCTCCTTCTCGTTCCCCCTCCCTCCTTCCCCTCCTCTTCTGCCTCCTCCTCCCCCGCCTCCTCCGCCGCCTCCTTCTCCATCCTCCTGCGAACATCCTCCTCCCCCCTCCGTGCGCTTTCGTCCTCCTCCTCCTCCTCCTCCTCACCTCCTCCTCCTCCTCCTCCTCCTCCTCCTCCTCCCCTGCTCTTCCTCTTCGGGTGTATAGTGAAACGAGGACCCTTGTATACCTTCATTCCTCCCTCTCTCCCTACACATCTTCCTGGTGCTGCTCGTCTTTGTCCTCGAGCATTGGCAGGGGAATATTTCTCCTCCTCCTCCTCCCTCCTCCTCCTCCTGCTCTTGCTCCTGCTCCTGCTTCTCCGCCTTCCCCGCGATGAGGTGGAGGAGGGTCCTTCTCCTCGTCCTTCTCGTTCTCCCTCCCTACCTCTGCGGTTCCTCCCTCGTGCCTCCCCCCGTGTTCTTCTTCTCCTCCTCCTCCTCCTCCTCCTCCTCCTCCTCCTCCTCTCCTCCTCCTCCTCCTCCTCTCCTCCTCCTCCTCCTCCTCCTCTCCTCCTCCTCCTCCTCCTCCTCCTCCTTGGGAACAAGGGGCCGAGTCCTCCTCGTATCCCTCCATTTGTCCTGGCTTCCCTCCTCCCCTTCCCCTTCTCTACTCTCCTCTGCCGAGGTGCGCCCGCCCTCTCTTCCACACTCCCCGCACCCTCCTCCGGTCCTCTGCTGCTCGCGCGCGTGGCCCGGCGCATTTGCAGCAGTCGCGAGGCTCGCCGAGACACAAAAACACAAAAGCACAAAAACACACAACCACAACCACCAACACAACCACAAACACAAACACAAACACTAACACAAACGCAAGCACAAGCACAAGCACAAGCACAAGCACAAGCACAAGCACAAGCACAAGCACAGGCACAAGCACAAGCACAAGCACAGGCGCAAGCACAAGCACAAGCACAAGCGCAGGCACAAGCGCAAGCGCAAGCACAAGCACAAGCACAAGGGAGGCGTTACAAGATACCCCCCCCTGGCTCCTCCCCCCCTATAATGCCCATTATCGCCCTCTCTTCCCCCGCCTTCCCCCTCTATGCATCTGGACAGTCCGCAGTGCGTCGCCCGGCTTGCCCGAGCGCGCGTGCGGACTGCCTCTGCCGCGTTGCGGCGTAGACAAAAAAAGTGGCATTCCGCTCGGTTGAGAGAGGTGCGCGGCAGGGACGGGCGAAGGGGGAGACTTGGGGCGGACAGGTGCGTAGCTCAGAGGCGAAGGTACAGTCGGCAGGAGGTATAAGATCGAGGTCGCATCGGGGAGGGTACCCCAATGGTCTTCGTGCTTGTCGAATGCTCTTGTGCATCCTGGGGAGGGTACCCTTGGATGTTCAACGTAGTTTGGCTGGCGGAGGGTCTCATGTTCTTGAACGATGTTATTCTGTCCAAGGTCCACTGTACCCATCCCTCGTTTTCCCCTTTCGGGACCCCCCTGGAAGGAATT